CCCCAAAACCCCAAAACCCCAAAACCCCAAAACCCCAAATGAAGTGAGGTAAGTTGAAACTATATTAATTATTACAGGGTTAAATAAATCTTGGCAAATACCGATTCATGAATGCAATGGAGACTGAATCAATGTCTTTATGGTTTCAGCATCTTTATTTGGCATAAGGACACTAGAAATCTCTACGCTATCATTTCTATCGGATTTTTATTCAGTAGATCAGTCTTAACAGTAGAAAATTGTTTCTTTAAGGCTATACCCAAATCTATCCTTAAGAAAATCACAAACAATACATTTATAGACCTTATTACTTCATTCGCTTATCCTATCTCACCCAAATCTGATATTTTCTCTCTTCTAAAACCCTATCCCTGCCTTAAGATCTCCTAAATCCCCTACTATAGACCACCCTTTAAATTCTTTGTTGTAAACAGAATCCTTGTTCTAACAAAGCCACAGGTTTTACTGAAGTGGTATATATTAAAATATTTGTACAAAATTCTTAAAGATAATAAGCGCTTTCCGAAAATCACAGAGAGGGACTATTTTCATTATTCTTCTTAGTTTCATTACACAACTGCTTCTAATAAAGATAGTGAAGTCTCTATCCTGATTATTTAAGCTTAGAAGCCAACTCTAAGATTCTACACCAAAGTGAGATTCCCTTTACCCTTGTAAAACTGGAGATGCTAATTATACACTAAGCTTTCATTTCCCTTATGATGTGTATTATTGCTTAATTTCTTAGCGAGAAATATTGTAGGATTTCATTTAACCATCCCTGTGGACATATGCTTACGAACCCCTACTCCTTAAGATTAAAGAAGCATAGAATCATAGTAGTAATAGCCTTTACTGCACTAGATTGCTTAAAAGACGGTGAGAGAGTTGCTATGAAGTTGATTTCTACAAAAGAGGGTTAATATTTTGAATGGTTTAGCCTCGATGAGATATAGCTAAGATTTTCATGGATTCAATATAAACCCAAGAGTGTGGGGTTTTGGGGTTTTGGGGTTTTGGGGTTTTGGGG